ATTGTTTGATATTAAGTAAATGAAATAACTTTCAAATATTGAAGGACAAATGTCCATATCCCCCCCCCCCCCCACCTACCCCAATAACACATACAGTTTATAAAATGACAAGGTGGACAGATTTAGCCCCTTATGGATCGAAAATTAGCGCCACACTTATTTTTACAGGGCAGACAAACGTTTCCATATTTTGAAAAATAATGCAAGTACATGTAGATCTAATTCAGAATATCTTCAGTTTATGCTCATAGTAGCAAACTTAAATTGTTGTAGGCACAAAGTCTGTTCATGGAAGGTATGTCAAGGCCACCTAGCTCAGACCCATAATGCTTCAGAAATGCTTTTATTTTTATTTCTCAAAAGCTTCTAAATTTTAGTGTTCTTATCAAGAAAGTTACTCATGGCAAATTACCTGAACAATCTTTTTCATCTTATGCAATTTTGAAAGAAGTACAGTAAACTGTTATGTACAGTGAATTAGTATTCTTTGTGGAAGTCAATAATACCAGTGCTTTGATTAAATTTTGCTACTTTTATGACAAATTATATTACATTTATCACCATTTTCTTCATGGTACAAGCATCTTACATTCTCAAAAACCATTTTATTATTGTGAATGGCTTAGAAACCTACTGTAGTATATCATAAAGGTATAATTAAAGATAAAAGAACAGACGGGGATATGGGACCAAATTGAAGGGAGGGAGAGGGGGGTGTAATCTCCAACTATACAGACTAAAGACACACTTTGAAATACAATGAGGAAAAACTGAGAAGGGAATGGACAAAGTTGCAGGAGCCAAGACCATTGTTAAAATCCCCAAACAAACCATTGAAGCAAATGACATACTTAAAAAGGAACCATAGAATGACACTGCCTTGAAACATGGAAATAGCAAAAACATAGCTTAAGAGTTTATAATATGAAGCCTTTTAAAAGCTTCTTTCCACATACAATGTAGATTTTGCCTAAAACATATTAAACTCTATATCACAAATTCAGGGTAAGACCAAATTTTAAGAGGACCTTGTTTAAATATTATAAACATCCAGTTTTAATTCCGGAATCAGTTTGTTCTGACAATCTATAAAGTCTTTAACCCTTGACATGTTGGAACAGAAAATGATCAGTTCTTGCCACAAGTATAGATCCAGGCCAGCCTGAAAACCTGTGCACTCAGTTCAGGTTCTGTACTGTGGACAGCTCAATTTTAGTACCTGTATATTGATTGATTGATTGATTTGATTGACTATTCCAAATACAAAGCAGGGCAAATCCATTACAGACATTCAGCAGTTTATTTTTATAAACAAATTGTTCACTAACAGACAGATAGGGGTATGTTTTTTTCCAACAATATTGACCATGCACTCTTCATTTGACCCTATAGCCTGTAAATTCGGTAAACTTTTGATCTACTTTTAAATCTGCATGAATGTTTATAATACTGAATGTTTGTAACGTCGCTTTTCATTGGATAATCGTGATGTTTATATAGTTTTATATACTAAGCTGCTGTCGATTTATAAAAACATCTTACAATTTACTTATTTCTCTAAGAAATAATGCTTACTGTATTATAAATTTGTTATAAAGATTGTTGATAGGTAATATGGCCTTATATAAACAGATGTTTGCAATATAACCCTTGTCTGGCGGCTGGGGTTATATTTACAAACAGCGGTTTATATAGGGCCATATAACCTGTCAACAATCTTTATAAATAATAATATAACCAGTTGTTAAATGTTAATTTTTTGTGTGTATACTATCTGTGTACTTTTATATTAACTACATCTGTAGTGTGTATGCGCTAAACCATATACGTTTGCATAATGTCACCAAGAAACCATTGAAAAATATGCATTCTAGAGAAAAACTTGCGATTGTCCAAAGTCCGTATGTCTGAGTACTTACGAAAACAAGTCATCTTGATAAAACAAAAGGAAACACCAGACTACTTAAAAGTTATCCTAAAAGTAGATATATTAAAACAATTTCAAATTAATTCAATTCTTGCAATAATTTAGTAAAAAAAACAAAAACACAAGAAGTGTGACTTCATAACGCAGTGTTGGTTAGGAATCAAACCAGAGACCTTCAGATCAGTAGTCCGGCATCTATACAAATATACCACCTTACTGACATGTGAAGATAACAAATATATCAATATATTCGTTTGATACAAGTGTTTATTCAATGACCTTTATGAAGGTTGAAGATTAAGGACATTATTGTTGGACAATATTACCAACCAAATTATGCCCAGAATTAAGTAAAAGAAAAAATTTTTTTGGATATAGAATGTACAACTTCTGCAAATTTAATGTGAACTGGTCAGTGGGTTGAGGTAATTTAAGGATATTCTAAGATTTTATGAACTTTCAGAAGGACAAAGAACATTTAATTGATATTATAACTGAAACAAGTAGAAATTGATTTATCAGCACACATCAATTTTAAGCTGTGGTCTCACTTACTCCCGGCAGAGCCCAGCTAGGACCAACCCGGTAAGTTACCAGGATGATCTGGGACAATCCGGGGTGAAATTATTGTTGCGGTCACACTAACCCCGGAAGCACTACGGTAATTCCCAACTAACCAACCAGGATGCGCTCCGGACCATCCAGGCAGAGCCCAGGTGAAGCTACGGTTAATATTATACAGGTGCTTTCCCGGTTGATCCAGGCAGACCCCTGGTAGATTGAAAACGCGCGAAAATGATAACATTGATACATAATTTTTATTTAATGTAATATCTATTGTTCCAGAACAGTAATTCATGATGCAATACTGAATAGAAGGGAAATAGGAAGGGTTTTAAAACAAACAAGTGTAATCATTGCAAATTGTTGTGATTCTTTTGAAATGAACTGGGCTTTGCCTGGGCTCTACCTTGATCAACCGTAGCTCCATCTTCATCCTCCAGGCTCTGCCGGCATCCTTCGGGGCTCTGCAAGCATTTACCGGGGCTCTGCCAGCATTCACCGGGGCTTTACCGTAGCTCTACTGGCTATATCATACCCCAGATCATCTCCGGTTTGTGCCGGCAGAGCTACAGTGCTTCCCCGGTGTAACCCTGGTCATTCCCGGCAAAGCTTAGGATGAAGTCTGCAAAGCTTTACTTCCCGGACCACCCTGGTGATATTAAATATTTTATTCCATCCAGTCAAATGCCAGATGTTCCCGGATCATCCCAAATGTTCCCGGCAGAGTTACGGATGTACCCCGGTTGTTCCCGGTAGAGCCCCTGATCACCCCGGACGTCTGCCAGGGCCCTGCCAGGATGTCAGTGAGACTGTAGCTTTAAGTCAAGACACATTATGAGGACCTTGTATTCACAGTTGCTATGATATCTCTGTCATATTTCCAAGTAAATATTTTTCAAATGTTACAGCTTAAACTCTAAACCTGCTAATGGTGCCAAACATTTTATCATGCAACCAGTAAAGATCAGAGCCAGCGTAAATATCCTTTAAAATATTTTGAAATCTAAAAGATTTTGAATGATTTCGCTAAAATTGAAGTCCATAATTTTATAATATCAATTGGGGTAAGGATTAAATGCCCAGCAGCTGAAAGGGTGGCTAAACCTTACTTTTTATCTTGAAATACATGTACATGTGTGTAAGATTATAGCATTTATACCATTCTATAGAATAGCATATAAATTTATAATTACCATCAAAAATAATTTTAGCTTATATATAATACATTTTTAAATAAAGTGGTATAGGCCAATTATTCTCTATTGAGGACATTCATTTTCTTCAAACTTATTACTTATTATTCTTACTTTCATTATTTTCATCATTCAAAACACGACTTGCACATATTATAATCTTATTTTATAATGGCTACATATATTTTATGTGATTTAGAAGTAATGTTTTATTTTATCCAATTATTAAATCCTATAAAAAAGATATGAGTTTGAGATACTTCCGTTTTGCACAAAGAAAATAATTAAATTTGCTCAAAATTTGTGCGGAAAACAGTTGTAACTTGAGATACTACCCTTTTGCACAAAAAAATATGTAACAAATTATCAAAATTTTATTTGTAAAACGGTTGTAACTTGAACTTATTCAAATATCTTTTTTCAAAAATAATTTGCTTCTTTTTTCTTATTTTGTTTCTAATTCCTTAACTAAAATGTATATATTTTCCTAAAATAAAACATTTTTATTCATTAACAAAAGTTTTAAAAAGTTTTTTCATGCTCCTGTAAAATTTGCTTAAATTGAGTTACAACCGTTTTGCGCTAAGCCCGCGATATGGCGATGATAAGATTTTAAGTGGGCGGACCGCGCTATGTTTTCACACAATTTGATAAATTATTTTTACCGCATCTATGATTTTTAATGAAGTTTTTATGTCCTTGCAAACCACAAATTATAGAAACTTTGATGTAAATAAACTCACTGGAGCAATATAAGATTAATATGTCCCCACGATTATGGAATCATTATATAATTTAGTTTTTAGATTTATTGATAACTTTAATGTAGTGTTTGAGGATATCTTCAAAGGTAATCCATATGAATACAGTCTGTAAAAAAGGGTGAATGACATTTTGATAATGTTTTTGAAGCAATTTATAATGGACGGTTTATAGACATGTAGACAGAGACTTTATGTATATAACAAGAGTGCAAATACATGCCTTTTCTCCCCAATAAAGGCCTCCCCCTTCAATATGGGCCTTCCCCTCAAATTTACTAATCTAATTTCACTTTCCTTTTTCTGATGACCAATTTTAGTTTGTTTTGGTTTTACGCCAATTTTAGCACATTTCTTTTTTTGATGACCAATTTTAGTTTGTTTAGGTTTTATGCCACAGTATTAGCACATTTTTTTGGAGATGTCTCGACAGTTGGGCCACGTAATGGGCTTTCCTGGATAACTTTCTAAGTATAAGCAATTTCTCCACAAGTGTTTGACTACTGTTGTGAGTTCCGAAATAAATATTTAATTTTGCTTTATATTTATTTTCAGGGTAAATGTCAAAGAAAAGAGCCACCATGTAAATATTTACACCCGCCCCAACATTTACGAGAACAGTTGCTTCAGAATGGCAGAAATAACTTGATATTGAAGAACCTTCAGTTACAAGCTGCTCAACAGGCGGCCTTGAACCAAGGCATGATGCCAGGTCTTATTCCAATAGTAAGTATCTAAAAATAGACCACCAATGAAATCTGTTTGAATTTTCAAATTTGTGTTTTTGTTATGCATATCATTGATGCCAGGGCCTGTTTTTACAATGTGATTCTTTTTCAGTCATTTTGGTTTGAATATCATTTTTAAGGTCAGATAATGTAAGTCCTTTAACTCCAAAAATTATCATTTCTGTAACCAACTCAAAGAAAAGAAAAATTTCTCTAAATGCTAAATTTAAATGGTACAAATAGAATTGAACAGAAGGGCTTAAATTAGACAACACAGAATCTCGATTTTTAAGTAAATTTGAATAAATTTACAAAGTTTTAGTCTGACAGGAACAAACTGCGGTGTCTAGGAATTATGAAAATGATGTGGGCAATGCCTTAATTGGAATCATATCCTTATGATACAAGAATGTTAACTTTGTAGTGCCCTGTAAAACTGGGGGATAAATAAAACAAGTTTGTATATTGTTCTTTAGTAAATGAAATGCTGTGAGAGAAAGGCTGAATGAATGTCTATTGTTTGCAAAGCATTATTTGTAGCCTGATTGTAAAATATTTGTGCTGAAAATAAGCTTGCTTCTAATATTTATAGTTAGAACATTTTACTGTAGGAAGATTTGCTTTAAAACAATATTGAATCATTTGATACGCAGGTTTGACTCCCATCTCCGCTCAAACAATTCAAAGCTTAATTACCTCAATGCTTGCACAATTACTGTTATATTTAATGTATTGGCTTTCTTTAGAGATCATATTAGAAAGTTAAACACATTACCTGCTACATAAGAAAAATTGGATATGAGACTTACATGATTACAATTAAAGGGCTGCCTTTGGCTGAGTATTTAAAGTCATAGACAGTTTAATCACTTAACATCTCACAGGTCTTGGTTCAAATCTGGCGTTGTACATCCGTTTTCTTTCATGTGAGGAATCTGGCCACCTAGCTTATAGAAAGGTCAATACAGTTCTACTAAGTGTCTACCAGTGCCTGAAGTAATGCAAGAAGGGGCACCCTGAGGTCTTTCGCCCCTTCCATCTTTATAAGCTGGAAAATCGCCTGTATGACATTAACATAGTCGTATAACTGAAACTCAAACTACATCATGTATTACATTAGAAAATGTTTAACAATTTGCATAAAGGGGTATATATTAATCTAAATGACAGACAAATGCATCAATATTTGTTCCACAACGTCTTCTGATTTGAATAATCTGTGCAGCGCAATTTGTAATTGAAAATGGAACTGTCTAAATAACAGTTGAAGAATTTGGTAAATTATTGGGAAGACATTTTATTGATGACTTTTTTTGGGGGGAATGATGAACCATTTTCTCTTATCAGAGCCTAGATGCAACAAATTTTCTCAGAAAAACATCCATTTTTTAACAGATAAATGTTCTCCATAAAATTTCTTCCCTCGTCTTACAATATTACATCATTAGTCTATGAGGTTATGGCCAATTCCAACAACCGAGGAAAATTTGATTTAATTCTTTCTATTGGCAAAGCATTGTAAAGCATTGATTTAGAGCTACAGAGTTAGGACAGTCATGCATGTTTCGGTCTTTCATTTGCAATTCATTGTGTCAGGCTCTGCCAGACAGATTTGGACAAATTTTGTTATTCCAATCTGATTATTCCGTTTTGTCTTGTGTTTTGCAAGTAAAATTTGACGTTTTTCTTATCTCCCCAATTTTTGAAGAGGATTTACCAAAGGGGAAACTTCAGGGATATATTTAAAGGATAAAAAGCAAAATGATCATATGAAACCAAAACTTATCAAAGTTTCATTAGGAGGGAAAAAAAAGGAAAACCTTTACAATTAGAATAGTCCTTCCCCTTGAAAGAAGAAAAAAATCCAGTTTTATATTTCTTGATTATTCATAGATGACATTTAGGGACCAAGCCAGATAAGGGACAAGTTTGGGAATTAGCCCGAATCTTGCAATTCAAAAGTTTTTTGACTCTTGTTAAATTGAAAAAAACCCCTTTCTTGTCTAAAGGAAAAGTTTTTTTTTTGAATTTTCCCCCTTTTGGAAATTTTTTTACTTCCATCAGTCAATTTCCTTAATTTAAAATTGGTATTTAATTGTTTCTGAGGTCTATTTGCACAATGTTTAATTTGATTTCATTTGATTCGAGACATTGACAACATCACAACTCACACTGTCAGGTACAGTGAGATTGTTTTGGCAGAATTTATCAGTTATTTACAAAGTAAATATATATGAAATTAATTAATTAATGTAAAATGATTACTTTAGACAGAGTTTTTTGTTGATTTGAATTCCAAAATCAAAATAGAATTGATATCATACCAATTTCGCCAATTAAAATAATTTACCGGTAAGCATTTGTTTCAAGTCAAACCAGTTCCAAGATTAAAGAAGAAGAAGAAAGAAATTGATGTTATTATTTAAATTGACAAATTTATTGGCAACTCTTTATCATGTGTAAATCCAGTCTGAAGAGAATGAATTATACTCTAGAAAGGATTTGCTTATCTTATTCTGATAATGCAGAAACAGTCCAGATACCATCAGTGTCTCATGCAGGAACAATTTTATAGAACATTTGGCTTGCCTCAATCATCAACAGAATATGTAGAACACCCACAAAAACAATATTTTGAAAGTTTCAGTTTCAAGATTTACCATAAATTTGTTTGATATACTTTTCCTGGTGTCTTTTCTCACCTGCTTAAAAACTCCAAGGCATTCTGGGAATGTGGTACTTGATTGAAATGTAATTACAGTCTGAAACTGACGGAATATGTTCCGAAAGTTTTGACTTTCACTGGCTCCTGTTCAATTCATACCAGAAAACATACTGGAACCAGAATAGACAGAATAGATGTTAAGATTTTCTTCATTTCTATGTTTTGCCAATGTTATGTTGACAACAGAGATTGTGCAATAGGGATTTTCTGACATTGTTTTTACAAGAAGATATATAAATATTGCCTGTAGAATTTGTGTGGAGAGAGAACAAAACATTGCAATAAGAATTATCTTCTGGATTTCAAGAAAATGGTTAAATAGATTGCAAAAGCAGTTCTGCGGAAATACTCGTCATACTTTTGGTGGGTTATATCAGCAGATTGAAACGATTCCAAAGAATTCTTTTATTGTACCTTATCATCGTCTCATGTTTTGTATTCTCTAAGTGTTTTCATTATAATTTTTTTTAAAAACTAAGACAAATATCACAATACTTGTGTATCTGAAACTGCTCAAACTTAAGTATGTCTGATGGCTTATGATTTTGTTGTTGATTTTTAGCTCGACTTTTCTATGAAAAGGGGAGCTATCCTACTCGCCCCGGCGTCGGCGTCGGCGTCGGCGTTGGCGTCACACCTTGGTTAAGTTTTTCGTACCACCCCACTTTATTTCAGAAGTATTACAAGTATGGCTTTGAAACTTACCATACTTGTTCACCATCATAACCTCCATCTACAGACAAGAGTACATAACTCTGTCAAGGTTTTTGACAGAATTATGGCCCTTTTTTGACTTAGAAAGTGTATTGAGCTTGGTTAAGTTTTTTGTACCACCTCACTTTATTTCAAAACCATTGGAGGTATTGCTTTGAAACTGACCATACTTGTTTACCATCACGACCTTCATCAACAGACAAGAGGACATAACTCTGTCAAGGTTTTTGACAGAATTATGCCCCTTTTTGACTTAGAAAATACATTGAATATGGGTAAAATCCACTTATTGCCTTAACCCTTTGAGATATTGCTTTGAAACTTTTAATGCTATTTCACATCATTACCCCCATCTGTACGCAAGAGAAGGTAACTCTGTCAAGGATTTGTTTTAAAAATTAAGGCCTTTTATCGACTTAGAATCTTGGTTAAGTTTTTAGTACCAGTCCACTTTTTGACTGAACTGTTTGAGATATTAATTTGAAAGTTGGAATACTTGTTTACAATCATGAGTGACGTAAAAATACCTTATTCTCTCAAAGTGGGTTTAATACTATTAAATTTATTTAAGGCTCAACTCAGTTTTTTTTTCTTTCTTACCAGCCCTCTTTTGACTTAAACATTTCAAACTTTGCTGCAGTGTTCAAGGGTATCACACAATTCAGTAAAATAATTCTTCACTAAATATCTTAATGCTCATGGCCATTGTTCACTTTAAAAATACAGAGATTCTTGTATTGCCTTTTACTGCAAAAACTTTTTTTATTGGCAAGCAATAAAAAAGTCGAGCGCGCTGTCTTACGGACAGCTCTTGTTTTTGGTTTCTGTAAATGTAATTCTTCCAGCCATGTGCTACAAACATAATAAATTCCATGAAATACTTAATGCATACAGCTGGCTGTTTTATTGAAACATATTTTATTGACTTTTCATCATATTGTTCAGCATTTTGTAGGCCTTGATTTTTGTGTTACATTCAAGTTTGTGTACAATCCTATTAAATATATGCTATAATACCAACAAAAATAAGGTACACAAATATATTAATAATATTATTTCATTCTGTAACCACATATAATCACAGATTTATATTTACTTATTTAAATTGATAAAAAGCAGAAATTCTCTTCCATTACAAAAGTTGCTTCCCTTGAAAGAAATGTGTAACATGCCTACAAGATTTACTTCCCCTTATTGCAACATCGATAAAATCTATTATGCACATTCTCACTCAAAAACAAACAAATATCTTGACCTTAATGTTTAATTAAGGACACATCATATTAATGCTCAAGGTCATTACAAGTTGAAAGGTCAAATATCATTTGTACAGAAATTTAAATTCTTAAAAGTGTTGCATTTATGTACACAGATTTGATGAACAAAAAATAACAAAAAGGGAATTATGGCTTAGTTTGAAAGGAAAATGCACTTTGTTGCTGTAAGTTTCTTGCATGTTCTATAAATAACAAATGAAGCAAGCTCTACTTCAGGCAGCCCTGGGATTTATATGGTACTAATTTCAATGAACCATTGCATCTTTAATTGGTACCTACAAATAGCAACAATATCCCATGTTGTTATAACTAAATATGCTATTGATGATTTTATGTGATTGTATGCATGCATGAAAAAAAACAACATGAGCTTATTGCATTTCAGATGAGATGAGTTCAGGCAGAAGTGCTTGTCTGTGTTCTCTTTAAGTTGCTTTTAATAGAGATGATAGTTAATTTAAAGAAATCATTATATTTTAATTGAATATTAAGTGACCCTTTGTGATGTTCATGTACTTTTTGGTCCTTTGATGTGTAATGTTTAAGATGGTACTTGTGAAATACTTGACAATGTCTGTTTTTTATGTAGTAAGGTCAGTTAATTATAAAATTTATAATATACATGTATATTTGTAGTATATTGGGGGATGAATCATGAAGAATATATATAATTTAGTAATAAGTGGATCAAAGATATTTGAAGTCATATATGGGTCAATTTTGAATAAATTCATGTACTTTGAAACCTTCTGTGTTATAAAATTAAGTTAAACATAACAGTGGTAGAAATATATATTTATACAAACATTTTAATTGATATGGTGTGATAAAATGGCATTTGTCTGCCTTAATAAGAAAAAAGAGTTTAATTTCTCATTATTGTTTGGAATTTCTAGAAAGAAAACCTTCTTAAAAATAAATCTGAAGTAGAAATTCTCTCATACTGTCTAATCAAAGACCAACTTTTGTTTATTTGAAACAGATTGCGTTCATTTGAACTTTTTGTCTTTATTTGAATTCTTTAGGTTTATTTAAACAGAAAAATTTAAATGTTTGTAACAACTTGTATTTATTTAAAACGGATTGTGTTCATTTGAACACTTTGTCTGTATTTGAATTCTTTGGGTTTATTTAAGACATGTGATTTGTCTACGACTGGAAGGTTTCATTGTACTCAAAATAATGTCATAGCTTTTTCATTCATGCATGTACATCACGTGGCTTAACATATGTTTGTATTGTTCTCTTCAATCGATAAAGCAGACAAGACCTGCGACAGAGTTAAGTGCCCCTATACGGCAGGTAGGATACCAGTGCATCTTGTTGTGGAACAGTCTAAAATAATAACTACAAACCATAATACTCAGATTATTGTTGTCATCCCTTATTTAGGTTGATACCGTTTAAAAAAATAACAACAACAAATAAAAACAAAAACAAAACAAGACATATTGACCATAGTTACAGTAAGGCAAACAGAATTATATTAAGAATTTTGGTTTCTGTTTGTAATATGACATTTAACATTTAGAAACAATCATCTGGTTCTTTCATGCCTGGAATAATGCACAGAAGGGGCACCTGAGGTCTAAGTCCACCGCCAGTAAAACTGGAAAGTCGTAATATGACCTATGCTCTGTTGTGCGACCTAAACAACAACAAAAACACCCAACATAGAATGAAATATAGTTTAGTCATTGTATAACAAAGTTTGAATCTTCCAAATGACTGTACCCCAAACCCACTGAATGTGTTATGGACTCAGTCTTAAAATTTAATTTGAAAATAAAGAAATTTTTCCCGTGTGCTACCAACAGTAAAGAGCCTGGTCAGACAACATGGAGGTACTGGCTGACCTGGCTCAGTACTGGTGGCAAAGAAGCACCCAGCATTGAAGTCAGGGATTAAAATTGACACAATAATCTGATGTATACTTTGGGTATATAATGTTGTAAAACTTAGATATTCTGGAAAACCAATAATAACATATGGGTGATGGGGATTTTACACAAAAAAAAATATTTTAAAGGGAAAAGTTAACGGTTATGCAAGTTAGAAACCTTATGTTTTGATTGACCTTGTTTTTTTTTACGAAATCATTAGTTTTGATTGCAATTTCAATTTTTTTTATTTTTTTATTTTGTTTTGTTTGTGAAGTAACACTTTACATTGGCAGTATATAGATAAAACTATCACTGCATTATTTTGTGTGTTTTGTTGTGTATTTTTAGTCCTTTCCTATATATAATAATTTCAGATTGGTTCTTAATACTTTTTTTTTAAAAAATGCTTTGGGTTCCTTTGATTTTGTTTTAGGAAGGCATGGAACTGTGGGTAAAATAGAATAGAATGGAAAGTTGTGATTGTTTTGTAAACATAAACGTTATTTTTAAGAAGTTGACCTCTAAGACAATTGTTCATATAGAATTATTGAAGTATTAATCTAATTCAGCTTTATTCATTTTGAGCTTAATTCATTATGAGCTTTAAATCATTTAGCTTTAACATTTTTAGCTGTGCTTTTTCGTGTGTTTATTCACCCTGGTAGACATGTAACTGTCATCAACAGATACACCAAAATGTACTGTGTCACACTGAATTGTATGTATTTTAATGTAAGAAACTATGGGTGTTTTAAACTTGATATGTTGCATTAAAATTGATTTAAATCGATAAAATTGAAATAATAACGTGACATGGTGCCATTGTTTCAGTGTACGGTTCACCAGGGTGAATACTTAAAAGAAATTGCATCAGTGCTTCCATTTGAAATAAGTCTGCATGATCAATTTTATCAGGCTTTATTATTAATTTTGCTCCTGAAATTTTCTGTTGCGTTTATCTAATAATAAAGTTCTATTATATTTTGTCATGGAATTGATTATGCAAAGACAGACTGAGCACAAAAATAATGATGATTTCAAGTTAAAACAGTGTTTGGTTATTGAATAAAATGTACCAATATATAATATTTGTATAAATAAAAAATTGTTTTTTCAGCCATAAAAATGACTATTTTAGCAGAAAGTTTCAGGTATTGCAGTAAAATCATTGCACATCTTACAACCATTAATATTTTCCTGTCTTAAGCCAGTAGCTCTGTAAAGGGGCTTGAACTTGAGACTGCCAGGTTGGCAATGATTTTACAGTGTTCTATATTTAGTTACATTGCCATGATTTGCGGTTTCAGAACAACAATGTCGCATACAGTAGCCCAGCTGTTCCCCAGCAGTTCCAGAGAGCCAGACCAGAGGTGAATACCTTCAGTAAACCAGTCTACTCATAATACACACAAGAGTTACTGTTCTTTTGCATATATAGAAATAGCAATTACCTCCCTTTAATAAGTAAAATAGAAGAAAACGTTTTGTATTATGAGAATTGTTTACTAACAGTACCAGAAATGTCTAAACAAACAAAATATTCTTGAAATTAATTTTAACAGATTTAATACAAAATTAATTTATCCACATTTGATTGGAAATTATAGTTAAAGGGAGGTAATTCACATACATTTCAGAGGCTTCCTTGAATGTTGCTTTTATGTTGTGTGTTTGAAGAATAAATGGCTTGATCATCCATTAATATATAATTTTCATAATACGTTATACTGTTATTATTTATTAGCTTTTTCAAAATACCAGTAGATGGTGTGTACATTATTATAGTTGTGAATGTCTTGTTATGCTAGATCTAGAACTATAACAAAGTATGCACAGGCTAAAATTGTGTTTTCTTCCATGTTTGGTTACTTATGGCTTCTTTGGGTTTATTTGAATACCTTTGGGATGAAAATATGACCTTTTTGGTTGTTTTGGGTGGTTAACTATATGGTTTACTTTCGGTGGGGTTAATTGTTAATCGTTTGGTGAGAAGTTAATGGGGAATTGGAAATGGACAGTTTGAGCTTCAAACTGGGAACAGAATTTTATTTTTCTTCACTTTTCTTTTTCAATTTGAGTTTTCCTGTATATTAAGCACTGTGAATTTTAATCATACTTTCATTTCTGTTAATGTCTTCTTTAAAAAAAAAAATATATATTTATAACACTACCTTCTTTTTGTCATTGTCATTAGATAAAAAATACTTCTGTTTTCCTGTCACTTTAAAATTTGATTATACTTGATTGAAATAACATCAATTTTTGTACCATACATGTACATAACATGTTCTTTAATTATTGTACCCTGAAAAAAAACCAGTTCAAATTGGAATAATTTATGAAGGTTGAACCACAGGCCACTCAGAAAATATTCGGACTTTTCAAAGAAAAATGTTTTTTTTTTTAAAAAAAGGTACACATGAGTGGTGAAATAAATTAAAATTGAATTGGTTATTTTTCAAAAGTACCATATTCAATATTGCATGCAGATTAAACAATTTTACAAATTGTATACATATATGTTTATAATATGAACGTTTATACGGACGTATGTTTACCTTAACGTAGGCTAGTAATATTTATATATAGCTTTTGTCTTTTAATAATCCATTTTCCAAGTTGATACTTTCATAGTTTGTTTCTATACAGTGCTACTTTATGCAATGTGCTTTGTTTTATTTATTTCCGTCACATTATAAAAATTGTCTCTCTTTCAGATTTGTTTTCGTTTTTTTGTATGAATGAATAAAATAAAAGATAGTCCATTAAAGATAAATGATCCCACCCCCCACACCCCATGTTATTTCAGATCGCTTGTTTTCACACTTGATTTGTATTTTACAATAATATCATCATTTAGTAAAAGTTCTCGTTTTTTTTTCCCCTCGTAATTTCTTTTTGTAATCCTTTGTTGTAAGGGGAGGACGATGATGGGCCGTCGATGATATGCATGTGTCCAGATTGCGTAATTAGTTTAAACGGAACCACTAATATAACACTAGTGTTTTAACGCTGCAGTTTTTAATTATAACTTGATGAAGCATAAAGTATGTTCTGTTTTGTCACAATGGGGACACTTACTGCACCATACGGCACCATACGGCAGGTTATTATAATGGTTGAGTTGCGGATTCATAATATCCAGGGATTCAGTCTACCATGAAAATTTTTTTTTTTTAAATTTAATTATTGCTTCCGATCAAGAAGACCTAGTGTATGTGTATTTTAACACCAGCTTACTGTTACATTGTTTGAAGGAAAATGTTAATGTGAAAATATATGAGAAAAAGTCTTTTAAGATTTTCTTTTATTATTAATAATAGTTGTTTTCTTAGAAAAGTTTTAAATGACATTGCTAAACAAGTCGTATTATGAAAGGAGCTTTTACGATACTATAGATTTCACCTTTTTTTTTACAGTCTTGGCATGGGTTGGCTAACTTTTTTGTTTTTCATAATAACATGCATATTTTAGCCACAACTCTTAGAGCAAATTTTCTGTGTGTTATAGTTTTTTCATGATCTAAGGGGAGTAACTCTTACATGATAATGCTTAAACTTTCGTAATCTCTTCAGAATATTGATTGAGGTAATAAATTTAAGTAGTAATTACATACAATTATTATTATTGCAATAATTTATTCTATGTCTCTTAAGAAAAAGTGCAGTTAATAAAAAAACAACAACGCACATTCGGAAAATCACACATTCGGAAAATGAATGGGTGTCTTTTTTTAACTAATTGTTATGCATAATTGTTATAAATTGCAAGTTTTGAAGCATTATATGTGTATGAGTTAGTTCTCATCAGACATTTTATTATATGTGAGAGTAAAATGCACTTATATGGTTGTTTATTTTTTTTCTTGAATATTTGCTAACCAAAGAAACCAAAAAATGAAGCACCCATCTGTGTTGATATAAGCTTTATATATACTTAGATCTTTCCATTGTGTTATAATTCGGATCTCCCGGAAAAATAATAATGTTAACATGGTATTTTGTGATGTATATATGATATAATATATAGTCAGAGGGAAAAAAATCTTGATATCGTTGTTTATCAAAAACATCGGTTCCCTAATATTTTACTAGTAAAAAGGTAAAAATTAAAAAAAGAACGAAATTAATGCGAGAAGGTTTATAATTATATATTGATCTTAAAGACTGCTGACACCAAAAAAAAGTTTTGACATTATTTTTTATCTTATTTTCTTTTACAAAAGTTTGTCTCCAAAACATTATACTTTCTTTTCAAATTGGCAATTTTAATCAGAAATTTACAGAATTTTGTAATGTTTGCACATTCACACATAAATCCATGTTAGCATACATTTTAATATCATATGAGAAATAATATTTTATATAATTTCTTCTCTTAACAAAGGTGTTTTCCTTCATAAACATTGCCTTGGTTATTTTTTTTTTCATTTTTTTTTTCATTGAATGTTTTATTCCTGATACTTGTAACTTTCTTTCTGTGATTCCTAATTCTTTGCACTGTTTAATTTAAATAATACATTTTAATTTTATTTATAGACACTCATTTTTACAATGATTTTATTTTAATTTGTACAACAATTTAATTAATTGTAGATAAATTTCAAGAACATTTAGATTAATAGAAAGGTTGATAAGAAATTCTATTTAAAAAAATGATTTTGCTTTTTTTTGAGAATTTTTAATTAAAACAAAAAAGCAACACTTATATTTCTTGATAAAAAATAACCAAGATCATTGTACTCAAATTAGGAAACAAAATATATTTTTTTGTCGAAATTGTTTTTCAAATAAATGTATTAAAACCAATTTTGCTGACCAAAAAAATTAGTGTTTTACAGAGAAAGTTAAACAAAAAAAAACAAAATTCCTACTTTAGCCTTAAAGTTTATTTTTGTAGTGTAATTTATCATGCAAATGAAAGGTTATTAATGAAATATTGATTATACTAAAATTAAAAAGACCAAGTTGGAAAAACCCTTTGTTTAGAGGACAACCCTGTCTTTAGAGGACATAGTAGAATATGTTTGATATAATGGAAGGGTCTAAGATATCTGCAGATTAAAGAATACTAATTGGTTTGCATGTTTTTCTTTATTTTTGATGTTTGAGGCTGGTTCCCAGAAGACTGCCGTGGCTCTACCACCTACGGTTGTGCCTAGTGCCGGGCAATACCCCCCTATGTTGGTTAGTGGTAAACCTTTTCTCTCTCTAAATATACAACAAACAAACAACGAACGCACATGGCTTGCTTAAATTTTTTTCTCTCTACACACGCACTTTCTCGTTTTTAAGAGACATCTTGTTAATTAGTTTTAAGCTGGTTAATCTGTTTTGCGATATTTTCTTCTTAATATTTAACGTTTTGCAAAGGGGTGTGTGTGATGGTTTGTTATGATTATAATGTGTCTGTTTTGCACCTAGGGACTACGGTTACGAGCCCTTTTTTGTGCCATAACCATGTTTGCTCCTATGAAGCCAGTATTAGTTTCTTCCAGGGAACAGAATTGAATGTGATTGGTGTATTTCATTTGCAAGAATTGTTGACATTAATATGTTAAAACTTCTTTCGCTTTTTAAGGGCTCAAGGGAAGATGGGGATGGGGGGAAGAAAGGTTTTAGTAGCCAGCTTGCTGGTTTCCAGCTGAAATTTAAATTATTTTAAACTACCCAAATTTAAATTTAATGATTTGAGTCTGAAACACTTGACATCAACATAAGCTGTTGGGATATACTGTTGAATAAACCTAAAAATAATGTTTGTTTTTTTCTGAGCATTTTTTTGGCGAGCATTTTTTAATGGTGAACACTTTTGCCTTTTTGTCTGCACAGTTTCAAGTTTATTTCACACCAAATTGAAAACAACTAAAACTTGTATTAACCTGTAAATTTTCAAAGCCATGTGCGTTATGTTTTCTAGCTAGTCTTTAAATTTTCTAAAACAAATCAAAACTTTTTGAAAAATGAGAATTGCTTTCATTTAAAGAAAATTGTTTGATATAATTGCTTTAATGGCAGCCATTTTGATAAATATTTGCAAATTAATTTGTCTCTTTTAAGATTTTAAAAGAAACTTTATTTCTCTGCAAAGAAAAAATAAAAACAGATTGTTATTTTGATGTCGGTCATGAAAAAAAGTGGGTGGGGTGTAATAAAATTTGAATTAAAAAGAATGATAAAAAATGGCTGTTCATTAAGTTTTCCATATATCATTATAATAAAGTTTGTATATCCATATACAAGAGTCCTAGCAGTTTGCTGTTTAGCTAGCTATTACAATAAGCATGAGTTTTTATACTGCTGTGTACTGCAATATGACATATATATGCTTTTTCTGGTCTTCATATGCCAAAATATTTTTGCTATGCACCTCTGTGTAAAATCTTTGGAAAAAATTATGTGTGTGAAATATGGGGCTTTGAATTTTAAATCTTCATATATAAATGTATTGAGTGTATAGTAATTATTTATCATATGGAAAAAAATTCAAATGGGGCTAATAATTCACTTGTTAAATTCATTTAAATATGCAGGGACTTGAGTTTCATAAAAAATTATGACTTTTGTGGGGTTAAAAAATGAGAAAATATATATATTTTTTTTAATCTGAATAATTTCTATGCACACATATTTTTTCTGTAGATCTTACACAACGAAAAATGTAATAATTTTGTGTCATTTTTGCTACATTTCTGAACTACATCTCGTAGACTGCACCGTAGATAAGTAGAAAATGTATCTTTCATTTGTGACGTGTTTCAACAAAAATGAAATATAAGCCATGCAAAATTTAGTTAAAAACCAAAGTTATTGCAAAGAAAAAGGAAAACAATCACACCATATACATGGTAATAGGTGAATATTTTTTTTTATGAAATATAGTAGAATTAAAGTCAGTGTAAACCAACTGGTAAACAGGATGTCTAAAACCTCCAGGTCACTTGTTTTTTGGTTAAACCCCATCATGGCCATGGTCAAAGTTACCTGTCAGTTTATTTAAGGCTAAATGTAAGCCCCTGTCACACTTGAGTGGTGTTGTCACCACATCCACAAGGTGGTCACTTTGAGCATGCTCAAAACTAACATTGTCACTTGGTGTTTCTGAAAAGAGACAGTGGTATTGTCTTAAGGGCAGTAAGGTCTCCTATAACTCCACACAGGAGTTCCACTAATATATTCAGAGGTCACAGTATAAAGGCTGTGTTTGCACAGAGATTGTTTGGCATGCTCTGAGATGTCACTGTGTCCCCTTTGCTTAAACTGTCATAAAAATGAAGCGCAAGCACCTCAAGATGGCCATGACAGCAGTGAGAGTGCAAGCAAAGACATTCACAAATTTTACCCATTAAGCTTCCTACACATTAGTTGCTGGGACAGTTAATTGAAATGTCCTTTTTCACAAAAATATCAAAAATTTTTTTTTGCTTTTAGCTCAGATGGTCTAAAAATTAGATAATCCCAATGCCAATGCAGTGGAAACCAGTATATTGTGACAGGGGCTTTGATACAAATTGCAATTATTATTCTTTTTTGTCAGAGTAAATTAGTTAATTACATCAATGCACATAATACATAGCTTTGCATATTTTGTAGTGGTGGCTTAAGCGTTACAATTGCCTTTTATGGTCACATTATGTTTGTTGACCTTTGGTCACCTTTTTGATGCTTATTGACCACTGAAGAACAGCTTTGAAGAACAGCTGCTTTTCTGTTGCTTTTCTGACTTTCTTCCATCATGAGTATCACTCATATTAAAACAATGCTACAATGTTTAAAATTTCTGTTGGTTTTTGTCCATTTCCATTTTTTCTTCACCCTTATGTTTAAGACCATTTTAAGACCATCCAATTATTCCATAGTCTTTTATTAATCATTACTGTACACAACTTTGTAGCATTGTTCTTCATTGACATTTCCATTTCCACTTCAATTCAATGTTTGATCAGCCTTTTCATAATGTTTTTGCATTGATTTATGAATAACTCATTTGTTAAAAAAAAAATTGAAATATGAATTTCTAACGTGACCTTTTGAATTTGACCTTTTTACAGGCACACCATTACCTAGGTGGTACCCCGACTCCCACATCCGCTGTTGCATTTAACCCGTATCTCAATGCCGGGGTCCAGACTGTGTCTGTTGCCCAGACAAATGGAGAGTCACCATCATTAGTTTCCCAGCATCCAGCTGGTGTCATTCCAACTGCGTTTTCCAACGTTGCTACAGCAACCAAGTTGGCAAGACCAGATAGACTAGAGGTAGGTCAAAGGTCATTGCCATGGTAACTGTGTTAAAAATGCCTTATTTATGTAAAGAGGTTATAGTATTTGAAAAAATTCTTGTTTTATCAGATTATCTACATTGTTCTATTTTTAGTAACATCATATGAGGAGGTCATCTGTTGCTATGGCAATGCATTAGTTACTGTTGAAAAAGCTCAGCAATGAGCTAGTGTGTTTTCTAATTTTGAACTATTTGCTTTAGTTTTTACACAATTGCATTTTGATAAAAATAGTTTTCTTTGAATGTCCTTTTTTATATATTTTGAAAATATACATTATTTACTTAGACTTCATCTAAGGACTTTGTCACCATGATTTATCACAAAACACTTGACCTGTTACTATAGAGATGTTCTGTGTCCATGGCAACAGGAAAAAATTGTTTTATTTGTCATTAGTCTGCATTAACTACATCAGTCTTTTAGTGGGGAAAAATGTTAAGAGATGTTCATAATTATGAGGGTTTTTAAATTGTAACAAGTAGTGAGTATTCATAACCTTGACCTTGGACTTGAATTAAGCCCCAGCCTTGACCTTTTCTTTAGATACATTGTCTCATAGATTGAGATAACATTTATCATGGGGGGGGGGTTAATGGTGTCTTAAAAAATCAACAAAAAGAATAACTGAATTGGCAAAGATGTAGTGCATGCATACTTGTGACCCCAACAAAAAAGGGACTCAAATTAAGTCCTTGGTATAAGAATGGTAATTAGCAATTGTAAATTACATAACTCAGACATGGTGCACAAAACAATGCTTTTTATTCTCACTTCTCTTACTTTTATTTTCCATCTCTGACAATGTATCAGATGTTAAAATTGAAAATGCCAAATAATTTTTTTTAATAAAATGTAGTGCACAAATACTGGGGAAAAACTAAAAAAGAAAATTAGAATTATCAGAAGAAAAAAACAAAACAAATGCTTTGTGTGAAAGTTGCAGATTTGTTTGTTTACTGCCTAACTGTGGGACTGCCTAACTATGCATTTTATTCTTACTTTCTAATGTGTTCAGTTCATAGTACATAAGTTCTAAAAAAGATTTGAATTTATTTTTGGGACATAAAAAGAAAAAAAAATATGGAGCAAACTCCTCACAATCTGGCAGTCAGCAAAATTATGAATACATGTAATTTGGTCCTGTTAGAAAATCTCAAGCATTTATGTATTGCAAAATGTGCATTAGACAAGAGACCATGTATATTTTATATATTGGCACTTTATTGGCACCTGCTACATTAATATAAGCCAGTAATGTTGGCCTTTACAAGCCTTGCTAGTGATTTAGTCAAGTTAGTGCTGTAAACTAGAAATGCATTATGGGTATATACTTGTTTTGTGATTGTCCACAAAATACAAAGTTTTTGTTATGTGAAAGTCCACAAAATATTTATATGTTATGTAAAAAAGCCCTGCAATATACATTTTTTTGTTCACTCCCAGAAATTTTGATTAATTTTATTATATATATATAGAATATTTGTAAAAGCAATTTTTAAGGTTTCACCTTTTAATAGATGATGCAGCTTTCCTGCAATTATTGCTTTATATAAATGCTTCAAGTATTCTAACACTGCCTAGCAAAATATCACCCTGTCTTTATTAACACCCACATATGCTTTATTACTCGATAAACTATTGTAACGAAAGAAAAATTGAAAACGAAAGAAAATTCCGAAGAAAAATTTGATGAACTGCAGAAAGAACAATTCAGTATAACTGCAGAAAATAAAAATCTTTCTAAAACAGCAATTGTACAGAAATAAAGAAAAACAAAAAGCTGTTTGACATGCTGTTTGATTGACATAAAGTTCTGGTCGAAATTTTTGACCTTTGACCTCCAGCAATGGACTCGTCCAGCTTCCATTTTTGGAACTGTTCATTATTTATTTTGAGGATGTCAAGAAAAAAACAACTTAGCATTGGTGGAATGGACAGTATATAATCAAGTGGGACTTATCTGAGGTGCACACCAAACTGGCTCTATACTGGAGGTCAAGGTCGATCACTTTTAGGTCAAGCAGGTTAAAGTTCAAGTGAACTTATTCATGATTCCAAGAGACAGTTACACATATTAAGTTACACATATTTGGGTGTTAACATGGTCAGTTACAATTGTGGATATTTTTATTGTACACTTTTCCCCTTATTTCTTCTGTTCTCAACTCTTACCCTATTATCTTGCTTTATAGATCGTAAAGTTGAATTTTTTTCATGATCAAAATGTTTTTAAAAACAAAGAATAAAAAAAGAAAAAAATAGATTTTTTTTTTTTAATTATGTAGGTAAATAAATCAGCGAGGACAAATTCAGCAACTGTATTTTCTTGATATTAAAGTAAATTTAACTTCAGGAACACAGTAAGATATTTTTAGTATCAACACAGTGAGATATTTTTAGTATCAATATGAAGAATCACACATGAAGACATGGCCTCCATCAGAAAACAAGGAAAAATTAAAATATATTGTGCTGTAACTCAGTATTTTAGAAAGCACATGACATTGTTGTCTGCTAAAAATGTCACATAATTGAAACTTTTAAATCTGAAGAATGGTTCATTTTCACAAAGGTGTCAATTCACAAAGGTGTCAAAGCAAAGCTTCAGAGATGAAAATTTAAATATATATATTCGCAATTTGAATTTTTTTTTCTTCAATCATTAATTTTATGAGATGGGAGATGAGTTTTAGGTCTCAGCCATATTGTTAAGAATAAGTCTATGGGATGTACTTTAATGGAGAAATATTTGGACAAAAATTATTCTTGCAAGGAGGGGCATCTGGGATATTCTTGCACCAAAAGGCATCTGGGTGTTTTCTTGCACCAAGAGGCATCTGGGAGTAATTTTGCAAGGAGGGGCATCTGGGTGTATTCTTGCACCAAGAGGCATCTGGGGGTATTTTTGCAAGGAGGGGCATCTGGGGGTATTCTTGCAAGAAGGGTCATCTGGGGAGTATTTGTCCAAGGAGAGGCATCTGGGAGTATACTTTCTCTGAAAGAATCTGTCGCCATATGACCATCACAGTCTTTTATGTGGAACTGTAATAAAAACGGTATAAAAATAAATTGTTGAGAACATGGCCACAGAAGCATTTAATTTGCGGATATGCAGCATATATAACCCTGAAAAATGATCAGAATTGGCTATCGATGAATAAATAATTGATTCTGCAAGCTAGACAGACTTATGACAAATGTAATTTCAAATACAACGAGATAAAGTCACGCCATTTTCTTGTATGATGCTGTATGGAAACATTATCAATAACATATAGAACCAATGTTTCCAATGTCACTATAGACAAATGACATCTAATGTCTTGCAGCCATATCGACTGGTAGGGCATGGCTTTCATCTTTTTAAAAGGTCCATTAAACAGATTATCTGCCATGTAATGTTGACGGAAAAAAATAGAAGTTTCCTTTCAGAAATACATTTATAATGGGAATATCATGTGCCTAAGTCCATTACTTAGAGATCTTGTCAGGGTTATATTGTCTGGAAATACGGATCTTGTAAAATATGGCTGTACCTGTTTTAACTAGGAAGAGAAATAAAAATGGAAATGTGTGCGGATTGAATTCATTTCAATAAAAGCCCCATCACATGACGGCTGTGTGTTTTCAATATTAACCATTAATACATATTTCTTTATGTAAAAACGCATTTGATATAAAAATGGTTTATTTTTTGGGTTTTAAATTCTGAATTTACTGGTTCTATGATGACATGTGATAAAATGAATCTTAAATCTGTGTCATCAAATGAAATACTTACATGAAGCTATTGCCATTTCGAGATAGCCACAGGTTTGCTTCAAAGCACTTCCATGGACTCTGTTAATTATTTTAAGTCTATATAAAATCAAATATAATTGATTACAGTCTATATATAAAATCAAAACTCATGTAAGACCTTATCATTCAATACATGCCAAGGCATTTCTTGAAGGCTTTAATAATTGTTAGATTTTTCTTGAGATTTTCTTAATAAAATGAGAAAAAACTTTTACAATTTAGAATATCTTTCAAGGGAGATTACTCTTAATGTCTTCTTTTTTGATAAAACCTAAGGGAAATTACTCTTTTAGTCTCTAAAGTTTCTGTATAAAAATCCTCTGCAGATTTCTGAAGCTTTACTTTCTCTCTTCATTCCTTTTTTTCTTGTCACAGGTATGTCGTGAGTTTCAGCGTGGTTCCTGCACCCGTCAACCGAGCGAGTGCCGTTACGCGCACCCGCCAGATAATGTTACGGTTGACACATCTGAAAACTGCGTAACGGTGTGTATGGATTACATAAAAGGGAAATGTACACGGGATTCGTGTCGTTATTTTCACCCTCCTCCTCACCTTCAAGCGCAAATCAAGGCCTGTCAGCAAAGAGCTAACGCAGCAGCTGCGGCGCAGGCTCAAGCCTTGGTAGGGTAATCTGACCACCCACCATCATGTCATTACCCTCTGACCATACCTCTCACTGCAGCCTTCACTTCTATCTTTCTCTTTTCACCATTGTAGCTGTAGGCTAATCTGATAATTCATTGAAAAAAGTTTTTTAAGTTCTTTCTAAAAATTGAACTGGAAAAAAAGGCTGATACAAAAGAAGCAACATATTTTTTGTTTGTTGCTTTTCAATTTCATTTAAAATCTGTTGTTTTTCAATTTCATTTTAAAATCTGTTAATCACTAAGTAATGAAATCTTGTCTCAGATCAATTTTTGTAGAAAACATATTTTTTGTTCTTTAAAATTTCATTCAGATTGGTTAACAGCTATTCTTTTCTGCTTTTACCTGGGGACAGCCAAACATGTTTAATAAAAATTTATTTCAATTTTTATTTTCCCCATTAAATAATTTGAAAATTTGGACAAGAATTTTTTATTTCTGTCTCTCAAAAAAGTGCTTTAAGGTTCATTAGTTTGTAAAGTTTAATTGTTTTGTTGTTGTTTTTATAATTTTATTAAAGTAAGTACTTTGTTTTTCGGAATTGGCTTTAATCCTAAAAGAAATCTCGTGAGACACTGTTCAGTTATAGAAAAAAAATGCCTAAAAAATAATCTGAGCAATTTTAAAAAAGCTTAAATTTTTTACAGCAGAAATAACTTTTTGAATATGTTTGGTTCCCGTCTTAGAATCGTAGATGCACTTGCTAACCTTGGACTAAATATTATACTGGATAACAAACCTTATGCTATAAATAGTATACTTCTAAATATAGATGCAATTCTTACGTATTGACTGCTTAAATTTCTTCCTTACAGTACTGAGGCATTGCATCTAACTGACTTGCGGGGGTCGGCAAAATGCTTAGGGCCTAAGCTTTCATATTTTATACGCGGCTATATTAAAGCTCAGCTTTTCTTTGAAACAAAACGACATGCTGGACTCATGTATTTCATTTCTAGAATTAAAATAATCAGAAATTTGTATACAAACCAAAAGAAAGAATTAAAATATAGTTCTTTCAGACATTTAAAAAAAACTTTGGCCATCCTGATTGTTTGTTCCAAAATAGCAGTCCTCTAGTCATACAGGTCAATCCAGTATAGTAAGGCTTTAAAATCCCCCTTTCATCTTTTAAAATGTATCACAGTTTTTCCTTGCCTTTTATCAAAATTGACCTATTTTCATTTTAATGATATCTATTCCCAATGAATTTTTTCTTATTTTTCCTTTGAACTTAACATTTGACTACATAAAATAGCCTCCAATCTTGCAATTTCCTCCTGATTTAAATAGCCTCTAAATCCTTTTATATTTCACGTCTGCTAATATAGTCTCCAAGCCAAAGTTGAAATAACCTCTAAGCTTGTTCATTCTTTTTTGATCTTCAAATAAAATTGTGATGCATTTTAAGTTTCATCTGTTTTTCACGATATTTTTTTGCTGTTATTAGTTTTCTATTCTCTTTGAATTTCTCATAAAAGCTCCAGCTATGTACATTTAAAATTGTTCAATTACTAAAAATTTAGATACCTTATTATTCCCTTTTCCACTTTTTCTTTGTCAAAATATTCTACAAAAAGATCTGGATAGAAGAATTCAATACTTCATAGCTGAAGGTCTTATGGGGGTTAATTTAGATAAAGAAAAACCATAGAAACAGTTACAATTTACAGTTTCTTGTTTTTGCCACCTAACAAAATTTTATATTTATTTTCGTTTTGAAGTTAAATAAGACTAATCTTCATAATTTTAAGATGAATATTTATTTTTTTTGGTTTCTATGGTACCACATTGCTACTTTACACTGCTAGTCTATCTTATAAAAGAGGTGTTAACGAGTGGTTCAACTTGACCCAATCTAGATCTTTACCCCCTCACAATTCTTCCAAAATGTAATCTTAGTCATTCTTTTAGTTGTTCACTTTCTTTACCCTATTTTTTGGTATGGTTTGATACATTTGTATATATTTCCTGTCTTTTTACCTCACACAAACCTTTTTACCAAACAAAAAATAGGTGATTTGATTTCATTCTAAGGTATTTATGGCATTGATGTTATAAAAACTTGCACTGTTGCTCAAATTTTGTCTCAAGAACCCTGATTGGTGGAAAGATAACTTACATTTTAAATATCTAACCAATCAGATTTCTTGTTGCTTTGAGTTCTCAAGTAAAGTTTTTGTAACCTTCACTGCCATTGGTTATGGGGCAGTAAAAGCACTTGCTTCTAAAGCTTGAGCAGCTTACACTTTCGCCTCTGCTTCAAGGTTGACACGTAGAAATAATATAAATTAGTTTACGTAAAGGAAGCTTTCTAAATAAGTGTCTAATTCTGTTTTTTTGTTTTTTTTTTACTTTTCAAAATTTGGAAACTTTTTTTTTGTGCATTTTGATGCAATTTGTGCATCATGATATGTGTTTTCGTTTTTAGTTTTTTTAAGTTTGAAATTAGAAAAATTTACATCTTAGTTTCATTTTGTAACAACTCTGGTGATTGGATTTATTGTATTTTATTCTTACACAGTAGAAGAGCTTTTAATATCACTTTTGCCTATGGTAGTGCAGTAGTGCCTTGTCTATTCACCTTCTTGACCTTCAACCTTTTGCCTTCCGCTTCCTCGACACACGAAACACGTGTACATGTTTTGAGAAAGAAAACAAAATTTTACGGAGAACTACAAAAAAGGGCCACACATGGATCAGTATACAATTTGATATACTGATAGTGTCATTTTTGTAATTCTTGTTCAGCTTTATGGAAGTTGAAAATGACCAAAAAAAAAAAAAATGAACGCAAATCTTCCCGGGGAAGGATTAAATGAAGTACCCTTATTTTAGGGAAAAAATAAGACCCGATAATACTTGAGTTTCAGAGGCCAAGTTGGGACCTTTCGCATGGTCTTGTTGATATTTACGTAGCAATGTTTTTTATGTACTTGTAGACTATGGAATATGACTGCAGTAATTTGTCTTTGCTTTGTACATTTGTTAATGAAATTATGTACCAATGTTTATATTTATCTTAATCTCACAATTTATTATTGCTTGTATTTCAATATACTCAGTTTTCTAAGGTATATTTATGTAAACATTTCATCTGCGTATGTTAAGTGTATGTTAAATTTCTTACGAACCAATTAAAATTTGAAAAGATTTATTTTTCGATACAAAAAATGGTATAATATAGCTTTACAAATTTATGAAAGGCCTAAATTTTGAATTGAGCAGTAATGTGCAAGAAGATGCATTGAAAATGTTTACATGAAATATATCTTGATGATTTTTATTGTTCAGCTTATTGGCTTGACTTAGTTTCTCCTAGATGAATTATGCTAATCTTGCAAGGATCAGCTTTTAACGTATCAGCAGGGAATACCCCACCTACCAGTTCCACAATTGTACAAAAACAGCTAAGGTATTCCAAATGATGCACTTCCTGGATACATGGGGTCATGTGACTGGCTGAACAGCATGGAGGCAGCCATTTTGAATAACTTTTTGAAATGTCCTTTAATTTAGGCCGAATCAAATTAAAGAATTATTTTTGTTGCAGGAGTTTGAGGACAAACTTTTTTTTCATTTCAGGAAAAAAGCTTTTGTTTGCTTTTACACTAAAAAAAAAATCCAATGAGTTGTTTTTCATTGAAATATTTTTGCATCTTTTTTTGGACAAAATTGATCTATACCTCTGACCTCTTAGCTATATTTACTCATTTTTACCTTGACCTTTGCACACAAATTTTACAAAATATTCTTGCCAATGCTTAGGTGTTGAATTTAATCTATATAGTATTTTGTACAAGCGATTTGGCTTACGACTAGATTTTATTTCTCTATATTTTTCTAAATCATCGTTCATTTAGCAAAGATGTTATAATTTGAGCTTTTTACATTTTAGACTATCATTTTTGTAACTGTTGCTAAGTTACTTGTTGCTAAGGAAAGGCGGCATGTTCAGTTTTGTCTGAAGCTTTAATATACATGCTAGGATGGACTCTTTGTAAATAAATATGGCCGAGTGTTAGGCTTACTTTTTAAAATGCAAAGGTGCGGAACTGTGTGCTACAAAAAAATGTTGCCGTTTAGTAGATACCTCTTTAGTGAATCACTAGCTTGCAAGAGTTTTTTAAAATCTTTTAAATGAGTTTCCACTAACAGTCTTTGCTTTCCAAGATCGGCTTGAAAAACGGAAGATTCGTAACAACTGATCAAAAATGTTCTTTTCACAATTCATTTATTTTTTTAAAGGCTCGACTATTGTAGCGTGATTTTTATCGTACTTCAGACTAAAAAAATAACTTACACAAAGAGTCATTCTTGCATGAACACACATAACCGAATTTATAGTTTTTTTTTTATCGTTATGGGAGAAGTTACATTACAGCATACAAAAAATACCACAGTACCCAAAACCATTGGATGGAGATAGACTATACAAAAAAATTAATATCTTATGCATGTTGGATTGAACATTTTTTACCGATGGTGCTATTTTATTTTTATTTTCATCACAACCACTACTACCCATAATGCCTTGTGCTGCTGTGCTTGTGTTGTCATGTGCCGCCAATTCCCGCCAAAATCGCCAACATTACGGCCAATCAAACATCCTTGACAATGTTGTACAAACATTCGTACGTTGTGCTACATCTTCGCTAATTTTTTCAAAAAAATTAGCCGCAAGTGGTCGAGGTATTGACGGGCAAGAAACGACCTCGTGACCCTAGCGAGGATCTTATGCTGGTACTTGTAACTTCAAATCATTTTTGAAATTTTCTAAGACCTGTTCCAATGCATTTTGTGACTTTTTATACCTGGGTGGGGAAAAAACTGGTTGGAAAAAAAATGCAGAAATTCCGATGTACAAACATGTAACGGTGTCAGAACATTTCTTTTAAAAATAAACTGATAAATAATTATTTATTTGTGAACTGTTGTCAAAAAGATTCTTTTTAATTGGAATGAAACATTATACTCTATCCATTTCTAAAGGACTTTTTAAAATCGTCATTGGTTTAAATATTGACAGTGGTTTTTTCGGGGTTGTTTTTTTTTTTCGGAACAAAAATTATTTTTTTCTGCATATGGTGAAAACAGGTCTCAGAAAATCCAATTCGTTTTGAAAGCAAATGTTCTTTTTAAAGAAAAAAAAAATCTAAAAAAAACGAGAAATGAAAATTTAAAAAAAAAAGATTTCCCATCATGCTTTTCGCATGTAGATGTAGTCAGCTTAGGATGAAATTGCACAGTCACATGACAACTTATATTGTGTATAAACGTATTACTCCGCTCTCTATTTTTCTGCTTGTAGAGTTTATTTCATTCTTTAATACTACACAACGTGTATATTGGTGATATGAACTTTAACTCCTTAATTTTTATACCTCTGTATACAGCTTAAATATTTGATGGTGGTGTTATGTCATATTTTTTTTGGTGTGAATTAAAAATGAAGTATCATTGCTTTTTTTTTCCTTTTCATTTTTTTTTTTGCGTTTGCTTGATAATGTAAATTTTTTTTTGTATTTGTGTAATTTACATGTAATTTACGTTACATGTCATGTTATGTAACAGATTTGAAAGCTATTTTTTTGGATATATATACGATTTTTAAAACCAAGTTTGGGAAACATTATCATCATGTTTCAATAAATCAAAAAAAAGTTTACTTCTGTAAAAAATAAATGGTGAGAATTATTACAAATATTGTGGTAACGTATTTGGTAACGTAAATGGTAACATAAACATGAAAATATGTTAAAAATATTTTTCATAAGTGAACTTGACATAATATTTGGTCAGTTTTAGGTAACGTGAATGGTAACGTAAACCGTAACGTAAACATGATAACATGTTAAGAATATGTTTCAAAACTTAACTTGACATAATATTTAGTCAGTAACTAAACGTAAATTTTTTGATGTTTGTTAAATAAAAATGTAAATGGAAACATAAGCTTGCTAATATTGCTGTGAATGTAAACAGTAACATAAGCATAAAACTTGTATATTGATGTAAATGGAAACATAAACTTGCTCATATTGCTGTGAATGTAAACATTAACAGAATCATGAAACTTGTATATTGGTGTAAATGGAAACATGGAAAAGAAACATAAAATGCTGAGTTATCATGCCAATTAACATGTTTGTCAATTTAATAGGTAACATAAAAATGGTTAGCAACGTCTCTTTTTCGGTAATTTTTTTGACAACTCAATCAAGTTCTTTATATAAAAAATGGAAAGAGTTTTATATTATTTAATATAAAAAAGAAAAGAGTCGCATATTTTTGTCTAACATTTTATGATTTCAACTAATAGATATTGATAAAACACGTCATCTGAACTGATATTACAACAACCATTCTGACCAAAAAAAACTGGTATAAATAAAACAATTCAGTCAATTATGTAACCAATAAGAAATAATTTCTATGTACAACTTTCCCACCTGATTATTAACAAAAAACAACAATCACAACAAAAAGTAGAAGTTCTCCATTAATATAATTATAAAAGCAAATTTACAAAACAACAAAAAACAAACAAGAAAAATTGTAGACAAATTACACTTATTAAAATATAATTATATTAAAATATATAATTTCATCAGTTTATTAGTTTTATCATTGTAATATATATTAAACATGAATAAGTATTCAAACAAAAGAACTAGAGTAACATAAATTGAAAATTAGAATATTTAGAAAATGAAAAGGAAAAAAATCCCATACATTTTGAAAACAAAATCCTTAAGTTTTTAAATTTAAATACACGATGTTTCGGCCAATAGTATTACACCACCATCAAATCTTAGTCAAGCCGTCTACAGTGGCCATGCGTGACATTTTTTCGTGTAATCGATGCTAAATCGTGGACTTTTCACGCTAATGCATGTTGGCTGGAATTATAAAAACTGAATTGGCTTGTGTATTTATTAGAAACTAAGACCAGTATTTATTGTTTGGATATTTATAACGAAATTTTGCTAGAAACTTGCTTGTATTTTTTGTCCATTACCGTATTCATTATCTGTCCTTTTTGGAAAGCTTTTTTTGCCGTGTAGAAATTTTGAATCCATTCTTTTGTAATATTTTTTTTTTTACTGTTTTGCTCTTTCAGCAATGGAAAATGAAATTTTTTTTAGAACAAATCGAGATTAAATATTTGTCATGTGATTTTGCATTTTTTGGTTTTTCATACATGGGCAGATTCTTTTCATATATATTATTGGTAAATGAATACAAAAAAATCTTCCTGTAATTTGGTTAAGCGATCTTCACATTTCATTATGTAAAGAACCATTTAAAAAAAGAAATGAATTAATGCCGTGAGATTTTTTTTTACTAAACAAATTAAAAAAGTTGTCACGGAAAATGAATATAATGCCAGTTTTTGGTATTAATCTATTAATTGGGATTTATTTTCATTTTCTGTTTTTAAAAGAAGAAAAAAAAATCTTTAAGATAAAGCTATATGAAATTTAAAAAAATGTTTTAATATGTGAATAATCTGCCTTTGCATGAAATTCTTAAAGTTTTTGATACTTTTATGATTTGGACATCTTTATGTTATATATATGTATATAGGTGGCTACTTCTTTAATTAGGGAGGGCATTTACACTTGTTTTTAGTATATATACGGTATACCCAAGTGACATTATTAAACAGAAAAGAAAACACCATTTGTGCTTATATAGAAAGCAAAGATGTTTTATTTTACTCTGTGTTATGCACTGATGATTTAATTAGTATGCTTTAATGCTTTATATGGAATCTATTTATAGATGTTTGGCTCCAGAGCGGACTATTATAATCAGGTACAGAAATTGGGTTGAAAAATCTTGACGAAAGTCATTCTTAACCCCAATCCTGCTGTATTCGTCTAATGATAATAAATTTGAGCCGCGTCAGAACAAAACCAACATTGTGCGTTTGCGACCAGCATGGATCCAGACCAGCCTGCGCATCCGCGCAGTCTGATCAGGATCCATGCTGTTCGCTATCAGTTTCTCTTCTTGTAATAGAGTTGGTAAGCGAACAGCATGGATCCTGATCAGACTGCGCGGATGCGCAGACTGGTCTGGATCCATGCTGGTCACAAATGCACTATGTTGGCTTTGTCGTGACGTGGCTCATTTGTCCAGCTTTCAATTTGTAAGCATCCATTCAAAGTTTTAAGTTTCAATATCAAAATATAAAAATAAAGCTACCAACAGTATAGAGCCTTGTCTAACCCCAGATATCCAGGCTGGCCTGGCTCTATACTGGTAGCAAAGGTTTTATTTTATTTACCATCCCAGCAGGGTAAGGGTTAAGATATTTGGTAAATAAAAAAAAAGACAATCATATTTGTTGTGCTTTATTTTAGTTAATTATTATTATCATCAAAAATTCAAAATTTATTGTCAGAAATAAAATTCTTATTTGTCATAACATTGAAAAAAAATCATTTATTACACATGACCCTAAACCTGCTTGAGCCGAAAATGATTAGCCTTGCCACCATACACTATGCTGTTGGTAGTTCAATTTTTGTAAATTTAGTATTGAAATGCCTGAAAGTTTGAAAAGGCTGTTCAAAATTCAAAGCAAGGCTTTTTTTATTTCGAAAGTTCTGCAGGTTGAGGGATAATATGAAATTTTAGAAGAAAAAAAATTCAGTATGATTTCCTTTTGGTGTGCTAGAGTTAAGATATCATAGGGGACAGATTGATTATGATTCAGTTTTGATGTTAATTAAGTAATCAGCTGTATATCACAGAGTAAAATTTACTCACAGTCTCACTCTGTGATCATGTCCTCATTGGACAACACCCTGCAGTCTAAACCAATCACACTGCTAGACCAATCAGTAGTGGAGCAAGAACTATGATAGAAACTCACTCATTGGTTAAGGCATAATTAATGTGCCAATCAAATTTAAGGTTTCAATATCTGTAATACATGAGCCAATCAGATATGAGGTCACACTTGTAGGCTGAATTAGAAGCCAATCAGGTTTAAGGTCTCACTTATTTGATATAAAACACAAGCCAATCAAATTTGAGGTATCACTTATTGATAAAACACAATTAGCCAATCAAAATTGAGGTCACTCTTTTAGGCTAAAATTAGAAACCAATCGGGTTTGATTTCTGACTCATTTGGTGTAACACATGTTTGATCTAAATTTTCAAATATTTCAGAAAGAACTTCACTGTAAAATTGAAGTGAGTTCAAGATATACTAAAGTACATTCTTTGTTATTATAGAATATTTTCTGATTTGGAAGAGCAATTTGTAAAGAAATACTACATTATAGATTTGTCATTTTCAGGTCTCAGAGAATTCTCAGTAAAGTCATTATGTGGTAACTTGTCAAAATCATATCAGACAGTTTTATACTTTAAAGTACATTTCATTCATCTGCAAAATATAAGAGGATATTTTGGTTTCATCCTCATTCTGTTTGTTTCAAAGAATGATAATTATATTCTTTTTGATGTAGAATGTAGGAGTGTACCTGAACAAATATTTGTTTGGCTGATGTATGTTTCAAATGAGTGAAAGTAAGAAAAGTAGGTCAAGGGGAAAGTAGGATGAGACCATCATTGAATTGATTAATTTTTCCCATTTGTAATATGAGGGGACTTCTGCATTTATGTAATCTAAGTCATTTTACAAATGAAGAAAGTAGTTGCTTATGCTTTATTCTCAAGGGAAATGTCAGAACTTTTGATTGTCATATTGCATAGAACAGTACTCAATTTCTTCTGATATTTGAATTCCTTTTTTGACTTTTAAAAAAACAAAGGGATACAGTCTATGTTTGATTTGGGTCATGGGTAAAAGAAGTGCCAATTATTGTTGTCATCCATCTTTTAAAAAAGACACAGTAGAGTTGTCCAAATCTCTGATACAAACATTTTACCAGTGTTCTATATTGTTTGATATTTGTTTTATGTGTTACCAAGGAGATAGCAATTGTAAGGTTGTGTATTTATTTCCAGTCACAAGTACCAGGCATGGTGGGGCAGTATAAACGTGTCGCGGTGGCTGATGCCAAGGGTTTGCCGATGTATCAACCGATCTCTAGTATGACGTCCTATCAGCAGGCTATTGCTGCGATGCAGTTAAATCAGCCTCAATATATACCGGTGTCGTGTAAGTATACATACTCATGAAAATAACTAGATTAATTTCACGTTTATATGTCTGCTGTCCTTATAATGTTTGCTGAGTTTGCAGAATATGATGATAAGATTTTGATATATTGGTCTATATTTGTTTCCGAGCTCTCATATTACCAAAGTGACCACCTGCGTCTCTTCTTGATTGACCAATAAACTAGCTAGACTGCATTCATTTCCCCGACAGTTTCCGTGGTAACAAGCTCCATTTATATAGGAGTAGAAATACGATGTGCATAGATACTTCCCAAGACAGCTCGATAAGATGGTGAGCAGATTGTAAGAGCATTGGTTTATATGTTGAATGTCCTAAAACGCAGCACATATATTTTCTAAGTCGATATATGATATCTGATGATACATAAAGAAAAGCTTAGAGATTATAACTGGTACAGAATCTTGGAATAGTTACGGAACTGCTAGCTGATATATATGACAGTGGAAAATTGGAATGACTTGTCCAAAATGATCAAAATGGAAATGTTGCAGGCTCAGTTAGATTGGTCCCATGTTCATTAGACCCACAGTGGTAAATGCATGCTTGCATCCAACCAAACCAAACCATAGCACTTCAGGCTACTCCTTTAAACTGGTGCTTCACCCAATTATATGATTTAAATGTTATTGATGATGATGATCATGATGATGGTGGTGATCATGATGATTTATTATAGATGCACCTCAAAAATACTACCATTAGTTTCTACACATTAGATCATATAGCATTAGATACCATTACCATGTGGGATTTTGTAAAGACACTTTTGTAATTTAGTTACGATAAAAAAATGTACATTTTATTTATCTTGTTATCTTATTGTTATCTTATTGTTATCTTATTGTCTCGGGTAATAAAAAAAAATCAAAAACAAAAAACAAACAAAAAAATCTTTCATTTGATAAAAATGCAGTAATCATTGCATCTCAAATATAAATTCATGTACATGTTTTTGTTGTTATAAAGAAAAAAAGATTTTAATGGTTAATTGTTGTAGCTATATTTTTTCTCAGTTTATTTTTTGTAATTTGTAACATTATGTTATTATATGGATAACCTTTCTTGTGTTATGCATGTGATGTGCTAAATAAAAAAAAATCTATATTTTCAATATTAATATCAAGATATTCTAAATATAAATGTTCTAAATTATACAAATTTTGGCTTCAATTTGTCTAAATTCGAATTATTTAAATATTTTTTACTTTTGACATTTTTGAACATTTTTCAAGAACGTGCATTATTTAATAACATTGAGTTTCATTTTGAACTACACAGATATTGATTCATATATAATGAAACAGATATATTATAATATATACACTATATGCATCACAAGAAAGGTGAAAGGAATTATTAATTCAATTTTTAAGTTGCAATTTTAACCTTTATACTGCTTTTTATTAACACAAGTGCCATTTCATTGCATTCAAGGGACCATACATACCTTACCTTACTTGTCGGCAATCTTTAGAAATATCAAAGTTTTTTTAATTCAAGTGTAAAGCTCTTAGTCTGCTGAAGCTAGGTACCAGCCTTTATGTTTAGTAGTAAGCTCATAGTCTATGGAAGCTGGGTTCCAGTCCATTTCAGTAAGTTATGATCCATTCATTTTATAAAAAAGTAGAAATGTGGATTTTCAATATTCAACAGAGGTTTTGTCTATTAAATAAGTGTGTTAAAATTTTTATGTCTAGTCAGCCCAGGAACCAAACTTATTTGGTTTTGACAAAAAAAAATCTTGACAAATAATTAATGGGAAAAGTTATGGATTTGAACAAAATAAGCTTTGAAGTGGCACTTAGAAATATTTAGTTGACACACCAGCTAACATTTGTGTTGTATTTATCTTTTATTTCATGCTCGTTGCACCTGTTCATCTGTCCGTGTGCTTTATTGCTTCAACACCTACTCTTACACCTGCATGTGTATTAAACAAAACAAAAACTCGCTGCTGCTTGAACAAAACAAAACAAAACAAAAAAAACGTTTTGTCATAAATTGAACCCTTATTGACATTTGAAAAAAAAAACAAACATTTCTTGGCCCTGCCCATATTTTGAATGGCGGTGGTATATGTGGTTTATTTACTGTCGTCATGGTAACAGTACCGATGGTTGTTGCCCCGGAGATGGCAACGACAATGGTGACGGGCCCGCTACCAGGGAGCATTGTATCCGGCAATGCACATAGTGTTAATTACTTTGATGATAATAAACAGGTATCATACTAAACTTCTTTTAACTTACATTTTTTTTCGGTCTGTAAATCAGGGAAAAGTACTCGGGTTTTGGGGAAAAAAATAAATTTTTTTTGGCCTGTGAACTTGGATTCTTTAAAATTTGAATTTGCTTTAAAAAAAAAAGAAATATCTTCAAATTGATATGGTCTTCATGCTATTGAGCACCAAATAAAGAACTTTCTATTGGCATTTTGTATAGAAAAATCAGGGATTGATGCGGTGACTGAAGCGGACAAAAATAAGCCCTTTTTCCCTGGTTTACAGCTTTTTTTTTAAAATATACATTTGAATTAAAAGTGACTGATATTGTAAATATTAAATTCCCCATTTTATCCCTTAAAATGTTGATTCATTCTGTAAACCTACAGATTAAAGTGGAATGATTAATACAATTATATAGGTTTAACAACCAATTCTATGGGAAGCTCGAACTGGTTCGGGGTCTTACAACCTTCCAAAATGAATAAATTGTGAGAGGAACGAGATATATAGGATGCCTTTGCATAGTTAAAGTCCTATTTTAGCACATTTAAATGTGGGTCCTATTTTGGCAAAAGGGACAAAACCTGATATATCTATTTTGGGCAAAATTAAAACCTGATAGTCCTATTTTGGCAAAACCTGATAGTTGGGCAAAGTTAAAATTTTATAGTCCTGTTTTGGCAAAAGGGGCAAAACCTGATAGTCCTATTTTGGCAAAAGTTATTTTGGAACATTTGAAAGTTTAGCAAAACCTAATAGTTTTATTTTGGGTATTTTGGCAAAATGGGCAAAATTTAGTAGTCCTATTTTGGCAAAAGTTGTAGTGGAACATTTAAAAGTGGGACAAAACCTGATGGTTCTATTTTGGCAAAAGGGGCAAAACCTGATAGTCCTATTTTGGCAAAAGTTATCTTAGAATATTTAAAAGTGGGTCAAAACCTGATAACCTGATATAACCTTGGCATAAAGGGCAATAATAATGATAATCCTGTTTTGGCAAAAGTAATATTTAAACAATTGAAAATAAGGCAAAACCTTCTGTTTTGGCAAAAATTTTAATATTTAAAAAAGTTGGGCAAAACATGATGATATGATGTTTTGGCAAATGATTTGAATATGGGGAAAAACCTGATAGTTCTGTTTTGGCAAAAGTTATATTGGAACATTTCAAAATGGGGGCAAAACCTGATAGTCCTGTTTTGGCAAAGGTTATATTGATACATTTCAAAGTTGGTCAAAACCTGATGCTCCTGTTTTAGCTAAAAGTATATTGATACATTTAAAAGTGGAGGAAAACCTGATATTGCTGCTTTGGCAAATGTTATATCGGAACATTTTAAGTGGGGGAAAAACAAATATATTTGGAAAAACTAATATTATTGGCCAAAACTTGATTTTCCTCTTTTTGGCAAAAAGTCATATTTGCATGATTGTAATTGTTGTGAATGTTGTGTATAAACTCTGAATGAATCTGAACATGCATTCAAATCCCCTGTAGTAATCGGTGTATATGCTGAAGATGAGAATTGCACTCCTTGCCTGAAGCACATGAATGTTATCTGTTGTCAATTATATAATATGCTCGAAATATTTCACTTCACACATTTCCATTGTTTATGGAGTGTATTCTCAAAGCTCATCAACTGTTACAATGTTCCCTAAGATTCAATAGAAACTAATGTCACTGAAGTTAGCTTTATGGCTGTAAAGTTGTTTATGCTGCTTTTGAAGTATTTTTGCTATTTTGGCAAAATATTTGAGCATTTTAAAGTGGGGGAAACCTGAAAGTCCTATTATGGCAAAAGTTATATAGTCCTATTTTTTTTTGGCAAAGGCGTTATTTGAACATCTGAAATTGGGAAAAACATGATAGTCTAAAATTAACCTGAAAGTTCTACTTTGGCAAAAATAATATAGTCCTATTTTGGCAAAAGCAATATTTGAACATCTGAAATTGGGAAAAACATGATAGTCCTAACTTGACAGTCCTACTTTGGCGAATTTGATATAGTCCTGTTTTGGCAAAAGCAATATTAAATTTGAACATCTGAAATTGGGAAAAATATTATATTCCTATTTTTGCAAACCTTTTATCTGAAGAAAAAGTCTGATTTGGCAAACAAACTAATTGGATAATTTAGTGGGGCAAAAACCTTGTATATTGGTAATTGTACCTGGGGCAAATGCCAGTCCTCCCTAAAACATCCCTGACTGCCTTATTTACTGCATGTGGGTATATTCCTATACTATATACTTATATATGTTATAATTAACCTTACAAAGCTAGTAAAAGCAGCTTGAATCTTTGGATTGCCACTAAAAACCTTTTAATAAGTGCTTTTGCAGTGCCGGATATCTGACAAAAACTAACAACCTTTTTAGTTGGAACTTTATTATTTACTAATTTTGCTAATTTTACTTCTTTATTTAACATGCACCTTATTATATCAGTAGGAAGTAAATGATATTATTTTTTTCATTTATTGTTATATATATTTGATGTTTTATATTGTTTCTATTCAAGGTTACCTCCCTTGTTAGAGATTTTTTTTATCTCTAAGAATTGAGAAAAATTTAATTTGGCTCAAGGTCAGATGAGGAGCAGCTTATAATTGTGTCTTGTTACTGAAGTTGCTTACTGGACCAGCAATCTTGATATTAAAAACAGGGGGAGGTTGGGGGGAACATTTTTGTTTTAATATTTTAAGTCAAACAAAGTTTCTCTAAAATTTATAAAAGGGAGGTAATCACAATATTTATTGTTCCTTTAACATTCTACTAACCAATTTGTTACTATGGAAACATTTTACATGTGACCTTCACCTTGTTGCTGTTACAGTTGCTGGACACCCTCCCAGTGTGCAAAGATTTTAAGTTAGGCCTGTGTCAGAGGCCAACATGCAAGTTTGTTCATGTTATTGAGGGTATGTATATTAATTAACCTTTCACAAAGGTCATTTGGCCAGCTTAAATGTAATTGATATACATAATTGTCAAGTGTATTTTTATAATACATTTATTTAGGTCATAAATTGAAGATTTTGAGAGAATTCCTATGAGAAATGGAATCATGATGCTGTTTTTAGATTCTTTGATAATGTTTTTTGTCTGTTCCCTGAATTTTCTGATAATTAATATCAGTGTAAAGATATAGTTGTTGCAGATTTGTCGGTAAATAACAAGCAAATGTTGTCAGTAAATAATAACAGGGCCAATGTTGTCAGGAATTTACTGGTCAGTGTTGGCAGGAATTAACTGGCCTCTGTTGTCAGTAAATACCTTGCCAATGTTGTCTGTAAACAACTGGCAAATGTTGTCAGGAATTAACTGGCAAATGTTGTCTGTAATTAACTGGTCAATGTTGTCTGTAATTAACTGGCCAATGTTGTCAGTAAATAACTTGGCAATGTTGTCAGTAATTAACTGGGCATATGTTGTCAGTAAATAACTTGCCAATGTTGTCTGTAAATAACTGGCAAATTTGTCAGGAATTAACTTGCAAATTTTGTCAGAAATTAACTTGCAAATATTGTCAGTAAATAACTTGGCAATGTTGTCAGGAATTAACTGGCCAATATTGTCAGTAATTAACCAGACAATGTTGTCAGTAAATAAATTAATGGCCAATGTTGTCAGTGAATAGTCAGCATTTAGGAAGCTTTGAAATTTAAATTCCTAACTTGCAAAGTTTCTCTCTATATGAAATAACACTTGAAAAGTTCTAATTTGTAACATTAAATGAACTTTTATTAGGATTTTGTAAAAATTTGTCAAAAAAATGTTTATATTCCTGAATTAAAATATAGAATATTTTGAAAATCAAGTTGACAAGGCAAAAAGCAACTGGTTTTAGATTGCACTGGATATCTTGACTTTTGTATTGAGACGTTTTTTGTCTTAATTTACATAATTTATTCATAGATTGACAACAAAAAAGCAATTAATTTGCATATTAATAACTACAGACATCTTGTAAAGATGTGAAAGATTTGCTAATAATATTGACTTGAATATTAAAAGATGAAATTATTACATTCTATTTTGATATGCAGATAAGTCGATAAAATGAAATAGATATAGCTTGATAGAGAGATGGCGAATAAGTGATATGAAATTGATGTCTGAATCAGTTATTAAATAATGATATATTTAGAAAAAAATGACCATGACAAGTTGACCTTGACACTTGTCTATGATCTGGTTCAGTAAATTTTGTAGATTAATGATTACCCAGCGTCGTAAATCTGAATCATTAAATAATAATAACATTTAATTAACAGTATTATTTAATGTTATTATAAATTTCTTAAATACATAATTTGTTTAGGAGCCCACTGGGTCCAAACCACGATCTAAATTGAAATTCTGTTTAGATAATCTCAGCCTTTTAACAACAAATTATGCGCAAAAATTTCAGATATTTCTTTATCAATTAAAAAATCTTATTTTGTTGTGTGATTCTTAACTCAATTTGAGTTTAAAAGCTTTTATTTAATGCTTATTATCTTGAACAGTTTAAATGATTACCCAGGAAAAACTTTTTGAGCAAATGATCTGAAATTTTGCACGCCAGTTATTGGTCCAGTCTTCAATTTATGATTTACTAATCTTGAAAAAAATGTTTACAGTCTGGACATGTTAAAAAAAACTCAGTGGAGTCCCTTTAATATAAATTTAAATATTTTGTGATGTCATCTATTCAATTCTATGTAAAATCCATTGGTGACATCATATTAAATATGGCACATCACACAATGATTTTTGACATTTATCTGAGATGAAAAAGAAGATGAAACTTCCGTTAACATTTCAATTTTCATATCAACTTACATGAAACTTTTCTTAGAAATGTAAAACTAGTCACAAACTGGCTAGAACTGGTTTTGATTGTTTGACTAAAAAATCATTTGGTTCATTATAAATCGTTATTTATTTTTCAGATTATGTAGAAGTTAATGATGGTCGAGTGATCGTCTGTAGGGATGCAGTGCGTGGGAAATGTTCGCGGCCAACTTGCAAATATTATCATATACCAGTTGCTCTCCCACCATCTGAATAAAATCAACAGAGTTTCTATAAATAGTAACAATTTAGGTTTCTCATATAATCTACGTGACTGTTTCTTCATTAAGCGTTATTTTTTTAACAAAAAAACGGAAAAAAAACGTTGAATAGAATTGACTATATCATCATCACAACTAATTTTAAACGTAAAGGAGACATAATTCTAACAGTTTTTCTAGTCAAAATTGTTCACCGATAAAAAAACCCAACTTTTTTTCATTATCGATTAAAGGAGAGTTACTTCCCCTGTTTCAAGTGGCCGCAGCAGTTTATTGGAGGAGTGGGACAGTCTGCAACCAACCAATGAAAACCAAACATTATGTGATAAAAATAGACATTTTGTATGTTAATTTGTGGTTAAAAACCACTTAAATACAAATGCCATATCCGTACCAGAACAGAAATCTGTACCATCAACGTATGAAATACGTGCAAAATGGCATAGATTCCTGTCCTAGTATCGAAATCTCTCTCTCAATTGTGATATTACTGGTGTAAAAAACAAATGTCATCAGAGTTATTTTTCTACAAGCTTGGGGAAGTGTCGGGAATTATATGCCATCTGCTTGTTGATTTTTAAACCTGCTTCACTATATCCCAAGTTGTTTTTTAAGCACTGGATGCCTAACTTCCATGTATAGCTTTAAAAGAAAACGCATAACAATTGTTCAAAATGAGTAAAAAAAAAACAGTAAAAGTAACTAACAGGCGGCTCTGCTTTGTTAATTCTGTCTATTTTGTATAGTAAAGGTTTCCTTTGTGAAGAAAAAAATAGTTCTTGCTTTGGTGATTGCAGAAGCATTCCTATTGAGAACATTTGTATTCCTACACAGTGCACTGATTGGTTGATTTGTGTTAATTTTCTTTCGGGGATTTTCATTGGTTAATTTCAAATTAGTGAATATTGATTTTTGACCAATGACTATCCAGTTTGGTTATTAACATGATAAATACCAAAATGACAACTGCATTACTTCTTCATATTTCATGATACTTTGAGAAAATGGCTTCCATGATTTTGGTGAAGTGAAACTTTACCAAAGTCATGAAAGCAAAGTGTTTATTTTTTTTGTGATGGTTCTCAAAGCATTTTTAGTTGTTTTAATATTATTGTTGTACACTTATTATTTTTGTAACATAACTGGTGCAATGCAGTATGGTGCACGCAAACTTCCGACATAACGAAACCCTGTTCCAAATTTTAACAGTATGTGCCATAAATTATAAACGTCCCTAAAGCATTGGGACAAAACTGTTTCCTAAAATGCATATTTGTATAATTTTTTTTTTTTTTGAGAAGGCCAATATTGGTTTTGCTAGCTCCAGATTATAATTCTGTCTTATGAAATTAATGGGCTAGACTTCATTAATGGATTGAAAGATAGATTTCAACATCATGTCTAAAAATATTCTTTAGAATTTTTCTTGTTAAATTTTTTTACATTCATTTTTTTTGTGTGACAGCCCGTTCAAATAAAGTTAGGTGTTATTTTTTGATAGTCGTAAATCTGGGGAAAGAATAAAGTTCGTACTTTTGTTTTGAATTGACAAAAACTGTTTTGGACACGGCAACTTTTGTTTTTACCTTGTTACTGATAGTCACAGCTTGTGTTTAATTATGTTAAGTCTTTTTTTTTATTTGGATTAAGACACATGCATTTATATTTATATTTGTTAAGTAAGTCATGATATTTTTTTTTTATGAATTCATCTTTCATCATCCAATTATCATCATGATAAACCAAATTTCCGTTCTTGTTTTTTTTTTTTTTTTTTTTTAAAGAAAAAGTGCCATGATGTTTTATTACATATTGTAGGTTGATTATGATAGATTGTCAACTTTTTATATATGTTTTACTTACAAATTACTGAGATACCATTTACATATTGTATAGTGAAATATAAGTTGTTGTTATTATTATTATTGTTAATTTTTAGTCCTTGATTTTGCTGAATATCTTTGCAGCGTTGATAAAATGTTAATTATTTAATATCGATAAAAAGAGGAGTCATTTTCTGTTGGGATGAAAAATTCACTTTTGATTTGTTACATCACTTGATTTGTTTTTAGAAACTGAGTTTTTATTTTAGTTAATATATTTTATTTTAGCAAAAAGCAAACTTTTTTATTTTACAAAAAGTTTTAGATATTTAGCAAAATTATAGGGCTGATTGAATTTAGTCTCAAATTATTTCACTAATTAAAAATGCTAATCAATTTGATAGTCTTGTACAGTCTTTTTTTTAAGTGCTGATTATTTTGTAACGGTGATTATGATTGGATGTTTATATTTCATGTTTAGATACAAATCTTCCTATTGGTGCATGAGATGATCACATGGCTCATGACATTAGCCAATGAGAATCTCTTTTATTCAATTGTTTTGTTTTTGCAGCTCAATCACATTGAAGAGTAGTCCAACTTGATTTTAATGAGTTTTATTCTAACTGGAAAAATAAAATCAAATTTTAAAACTTATTATTCAGATAAAATTTGCACAGTTTGAAAAGTTAATGGAAAACATCTTCAAAATTATGTGCTGTTTTTAATGATACTGTGAATTTTGTATCAATTTTTTCTTAATATGTATTGATATATATTAAATTTTATTTTTTGATTAGATTGACAAAAAACATTTAATGAAAAGTTTTTTTCTTAACCATTGAAGGTATTTTATTTAGGTTGTTGGTGTTTTCAACAACTTTGGTTTCAAAAGGTTGATCCTATTAGTGTTGTTATTTCAATGATTATTTTCATGATTGGGCTGTAGTCAGATTTCATCTTAGAAATAACAAATTCTTTTTGCTGAAAAATGGATAAGAGTAATTGTTCTTGGGAGATACTATTTAAAGCTTTAAAACCTCAAAAATTTATTGTCACCATAAAATTCCAGTCTTTAGCAGTTTGAATAATCAAGGTTTGACTGTATATAAAACAAAATTATTAGTAGTAACTGGAAATTGGAGCCTGCTTTCTGATTGGTTCAAATTTTTGTGAATATTAATTTGAAGTTAACCATTGACAGAATTCCAATTTGAAATTACACATGTATTTCTAAGTTAATGTTATTCTGCTTGAATTTAAAATTTGAACTGATGTATTAGTGATTCATTGTGAAGGCATGACAATAGTATGGAATTTCTGATTCCTAGAAAAAGCTGTAATGGATGTTACATACAAAGTTAAAGCAAAATAATGAAACAAACTTATTATAATGAAAACTGATTGTATAAAATAATCGTATCAGAATAGTGCTAAACAATTTTGAAAAGAATTTGTTATTTTTCAGATGAAATCTGCATGTTTCTTTGTAGATGTTGAGTTTAAAAGTTCCATTATATATTTTACACAAGTTTTTTAACACTACAAAATGTGTTTCTGAAGTAAGACACAAGAGTTATGTAAAATGTTCTTTTTATATGTGATATGTATGTTTTTATTATATATGTCCCAGTGACTTTGTCTAAAGTTGTGGATTCTATGTGTATATATGTCATTTATAGGCAAAAAAATGCCTTTTATATTAGATAAATAATTATCTCCATTTAAGTGTTATGAAAGTAGCTCTGAATTAACTACGTTACTTTTACGTTACTGTGATGTAACATGTATGTTACTTTAATGTTACGTATTTTGTTACTTTTACGTTACAGATCACTTACCATGGCGTAACTGTTGATAATTGAGGAGGTTATTTTTAATTTCCTTGCTTTAACCCTTAATCGGCTATATTTTTATAATGGACTAGTTGAGCTTTGTCTTTGGAACAGTTCATTTAATGTTTAAGGGATTTATGTATCTGCAACAACAAAAAATAAGCTTGCAACCGCACAAAGCCTGGACGGACTGCATTAATGTGCAGGAATGCCTAGCTCTGTTCTGGTGGCAGAGGCTAACCTCTTTTGTTTCCAGCTGGAGGACTTGGGATAAGAAATTTTATATATCAGTTTCTACTTTCATAAAATTTAAATGTAGATTTAATTTAACATTTACATTGGTTATGGTGATGATGATAACAATGTTCGGTTACCTCAATCAGGCCAAACAAATAATATATTGGACTCTTCGTCAACTGTCCTTTTCACAAAGTTTTGATCATTGTTTTTTTTTTCATAAAGCTTTAATTCATTAAGAATTTTTGTATTTATACATATAAGCATTTATATTTGCAAATTTCTTGCAGGATTTAGAAAAGAAAGAGAAGATAATTATGATTTTCATTGCGTATACTTAACATGCAGTATTCTAAATGTTCAGTTTTGATGAACGTGAAAGTTACATCTTATAGAATAGAGAATGGAAAAAAAAGTTAACAAATATGTTGCTGTGTTATCTTTTTTCACTGCTACGTTACTTTTCTTTCTGCGAAGAAAATCTCGGAAGGCATTGGACTTTTTGATAGCTTTAGCTGAGGCATAATTATTCAACACTGCAATTTTTACATTCCATAAAAATCTGAATGCTCTTAAATTAGCGACTTGTGCATATATAATTATGCTTACAATATATATATTATATCCTTTTTAACATATATATTATATTACTTAAAGTTTGTTTAAAAAAAAACAGGAAAAAATAGGACATTAGTTTTTAGATTAAGTTTCACTTATTTAAAGCAATAAAAAACAAAATGAACGATGTGTAAGCCATTATGATTGGGGTAACTTAATGTTTTTTTTTGTATTGTAAAATGTGCTGTTATATGAATAAAAATTTTGTAAATAGAAAAAAGTATGTAACTCTGCAGTGTCAGACATTAAGGATGTTACATATGTATGGAAGTTGTTACAGTGTACGTTACTGAATACGTTACTACGTTACTGAATACGTTACCTGATGTGTTGATTTTTTGAGTCAGATTTTTTTGTATGTTATTTTAGAGGACATTTAATGTCCTGTTATGAGTGATTGTATTAAAACGACATTTTTCTTTTCATTTTTGAGATATTTTTAGTAATGTAAAACATGTTCTTTTTTTGTAAAATACAAAATATTAGATATCTGTTTTTAACCCAAAGTGTAATTTCCGCTACGCTTCTCGCTTTTTGTGGCTCTCGGGCTGTGTAACAGCCATTGCTATTCTAGCCATATCGCAGGTAGACTGTATTCTAACAAATTGTGACTAATTTTTACAAAAAAACCTTTTTCAATTGGTTTTTTTGTGTCGCCTTGAAAAGGTGACATATAGGGGTTACTTTTGTCGGCGGTGTCGGCGGCGGCGGCGGCGTCTGTGTCGGCGTCGTTGTCGTTGTCGGCGTCGGCGTCCGCTAAAGCTTGTCCGGAGCATAACTCAGTCACTATAAGTCTGATTGACTTCAAACTTGGTATGCATGCTTCTTTCAATAACCCGAAGTGCAGTGCACAAGGACCGGTACTCTGCAGTTCTTATTTTTTGAGTTATTGCCCTTTGTTAATTTTCATACTTTAATTTTGTCCGGGCCATTTCTCTTCAACTAAAAAAGCTATAGACTTGAAACTTCATAGGATGATAGATCTCATTAAGAAGAAATGCAGTGCACAAGAACCAGTACTCTGCACTTCCTAATTTTTGAGTCATTGCCCTTTGTTAATTTTCATACTTTATTTTTGTCCGGGCCATTTCTCCTCAAGTATAAAAGCCATGGACTTGAAACTTCATAGGATGATAGGTCTCATTAAGAAGAAGTGCAGTGCACAAGAACTGGTACTCTGCATTTCTTATTTTTTGAGTTATTGCCCTTTGTTTATTTTCATTTTTTAATTTTGTCGGGGCCATTTCTCCTTAAGTATAAAAGCTTTGGACTTGAAACTTCATAGGATGATAGATATTATTATTAAGAAGTGCAGTGCACAAGAATCGGTACTTTGCATTTCTTAATTTTTGAGTTATGGCCCTTTGTTAATTTTCATACTTAATTTTTGTCCTGGCCATTTCTCCAAAAGTATAAAAGTTATGGACTTGAAACTTCATAGGATGATAGGTCTCATTAAGAAGAAGTGCAGTGCACAAGAACTGGTACTCTGCATTTCTTATTTTTTGAGTTATTGCCCTTTGTTTATTTTCATTTTTTAATTTTGTACGGGCCATTTCTCCTTAAGTATAAAAGCTATGGACTTGAAACTTCATAGGATGATAGATCTCATTAAAAAGAAGTGCAGTGCATAAGAACTGATACTCTGCATTTCTTATTTTTGAGTAATTGCCCTTTGTTGATTTTCTTACTTTATTTTTGTCCTGGTCATTTCTCCTCAAGTATGAAAGCTATGGACTTGAAACATCATAGAATGATAGATCTTATTGATAAGAAGTGCAGTGTACAGAAATGCTGCTCTGCACGTATTATTTTTTTAGTTATTGCCCTTTGTTATTTTCCATATTTCATTTTTGTCCTGGCCATTTCCCCTAAACTACATTGTTCACAAGGCGACACATCCGACTCGCGGAGTTCTAGTTTAGCTAAGGGAGACAACTCTGTTAGAATAATATTTTAAATTAATGATCTTGAGCTAAGGGAGGCAATTGTGCTAGAACATTGATTTTTTTTAAAAATGGCATTTAGTCCCCTGATAAAATATTAAGAAATTTGTTGATTGAAGGCAATAAATAAAACATTATTATTCTCAACTTCATACAAATATTTTGATTAATGTACATGCATGGTGACTGTACAAGGAAAGGATTCATTGTAATAAAAAAAGAAAAACATTTTCAGAGTTGTCTTGAATAATAGTTTTTAAAAAACGTTAGTATTTTTTTTTTTTTTTTTAATTCAAAGCTTACTCAATTTTCATCTA